CTCTCCGTTTCACAGATACATGACTGATTGCCATCCGTGTCATTCGGTCGTTCGCGAGACCTTTTCCGAAATTTGTCAAGCCATAATGCTAGGTCCTCCAAACGACAAGTTACACAGCCATTTGTTGTTCCGAGCCACCAATATCAGAATGTTTTCATCTTGAGAGCGAAGTAAACCCTGCACACAGGTTTCATGGCCTGAATATCGCTACGCCATTGTGGAAGCGAGGCCCGTATCAACAATGTGGACCTCGTTACGATGTTCGCCGGAGAATGAGCAATGCAATTTCGCCGTCGGTCCGACAGACCGATTGTAGAACGCATCGGATGGCACGTCAGCGTCAATCTGCCTGCCAGTCTAGCTTGAATGGTCTTTGATGGGGTCTCGTGGATTTCCAATTTGAGGAACACATCATCGAAGTTGATATGTGTGTCGTGAGGTTGGAGGTGGTTCAGTTTAACTTCACCGCCGATCCGGGGCTCAACAGCATCAAGAGCAGAATTCTGATGTACGCTTGATTGACATTCGATTAACCGAAAGAGGCGTTGCGTTTTGCTTCTACAGCACGCGGAGAAATAACACGAATCCGTCGATGACCCGCTTATGTCTTTCGATGAACGAGTTGACGTCCGTAGACATGCTTACTCGTTTGCTGTTCGCTTCGCACGGGAAGAAGGCTTGACCTCTTGACTCTTCTCGGATGGACGAGAACGCCCTGAGAAGCTGCAGTTCGCATGTTCAATCGAAGTGGTTTGACTGACTCAGTCAGACGACGAGTAGGCCGATGAGTCGGCCGGTCGAACGTGTCGACGGTCATTGGCGGGCTGCGCCGAAAACATTGAATACGTCCGGCCGCTTGTTCATTCCACACGGACGTCGCGGCGACGCTTCGTAATGCTCGGTCTCCACGGTCGGACTCTGCTCGACGGTTCGTTCGTTCGATCTAAATTTATTCGAGCTATAATTACCGGGGGTCCTCTATCATTCACATGAGGCCAGATCCCTTGTTCTCGATTTTAATGGCTTCGGGTTTCGAGCTGATCGCCGAAGTCATGTAACATCACCGTGTGAGGATTCCAGTGCTCGCCGAAACTTTCTATCGAGCGATTTCGAGCAGCCGAGAGTTGGCTCGTGTGCGCTTTAGGCTGCGAGGGAAATCTGAAGAATCGGAGATGAATTCTGTCGATGATAGAAACTTCAACACCTCCTTCCCTGGTCCGTCTCGGGCTCGCCTTTGCCGCCTCTCAAAAGCCCGATCGGTGATTCTGTTTTAGGCCTCGAGGAGCGCGAGCGCTCCTTACCCCATCGACGACGCCCAAGAAAGGCAAGTCGCTGTTCTGGAAATAGTTGGACTCATCGAAACCTCCCTCAATCGGTAATGAAATTGGCACAAGAAATCAGTGAGGGTGAGTACGCGCGTTCGATGACGGGCGACACAAGTCGTGTAAGGCACAGGGGGAAGAGGACGACATCACTGGTCGTCACGTATTTCAGGAAATGAAGACGCATGGAGCTATCCTCGCTCGATTCCGTATCACAGGAAGAATGTTTTGACGCTGTGGGGGAGCACTGCATAGAGATGCGACTGTCGCGACCGTGGAACTGGTTCAGCTCTTCGAGAGGAATCAGCTTCATTTTCCGACGAAGCGGGAGTACCAAGATATGGACGTCCAAGAGCTGATTCATACGGGTTCCGGCGACCCCATGTTGTAGTATCGACGCGTTATGTATCAATCCGAGGGACTGTACAACGTGCGGCTGAATTCTTTCTTTTTTGCCGACATTCTACGCCGGAGAAGATTATCCGCTAGGCATGATCGTTCCGGGCGGACTGATTCTCGAAAACGTCCTCCAATCGGAATAGTTGAGCCGAGTGTGGAAGATTCGCAGAGGAAATCGCTCAATGCGACCATTTCATTATTACGGGGTCCGAAAGCTCTCATTTCGTCGTATGACTCAGTCACGATATGATCCCTCAGCTCCCTACGACTCCGGTACACGCGGAGTCTCGGCGCATATGCGCCACCCAGTTCATGTCCACTCAGAACGATTCGATGTTCTCGAACGCGGGCTGAACAACAGTCCAAGCAGCGATGAGCTTAGCCAGAGCAGAGTCAGCGAGCCACATAATTCAGGAGTCGTGTTTGCTATTTTCTCCGATCACAACCAGACAATGGAACCGCATAAAGCCTGTATCCCACTGGCAGCTTCAGCAGCAAACAGATCTTGATGGTGAATTCTAATTGCCTCGTCGTGCTCTGTCTGAGCGGGACGATTACGGGTACGAAGCGTTCAGTGAAGCTCGGGACGAGACTGGGACCATTGAACGACGATTTTTCTCGAAAACATTACCACCGATCGGAATCACTCTTGACTGGGAGAAGCGCAGTCTCCGCATTCCCGGAGTGGGATTCCGTCCCACCGAACACGGGGACCGAGCCCCAATACGACGATAGTGTTGTCTCATCACGCTCAGTGCCGACTTCCCTGAGTACGTCGGGCGTTTCCTGTTAATTGCACGGTGACAATCCACTTGCGGAACGATGATGTGTCGGGAATCGGTCCACACCGGAACACGTATAAGCTGAGCGGAGTCGACTGAGATAACCGTCGGCGACCAGTCAAATTCTCTCTCCGTTCTTATTGGCCCTTCACGCCGATTGATGGATGTCGCAATAGATCTTCAATCATACTTGGATCCGATGAGGTTCTGAGAGCAAGCCAGCCTTCCTATACAAGTTGGGACCTTTGCACCTGGAGGTTCCAACGCTGGCTGAATTCGGTAGCGTAACCGCTCTACTCTAGCTGCCGGCATCAGTTTCTTCCGTCGAGATCGATCTGGTACGGGCATAGCATACACATGACAGTGCGGGCGAAATCTGAGTCGACGCGGAACTTTAGAATCGAATCAGGGGAGTACGGGGGAGTAGTCCTCTTTTTCTCAACCGAGGGCGAAATGAGAAAGACTATAGGCACATTCGAGCGAATGACGATTCGTACGAGTACTAGGGATTTCGGTAGTCGGGATCTTTAGTCAGGCGAGAATCTCAGACGGAATTCGGTAAACCGGTAAGTCATTAGTTCTTGAAAACGACTCTCCGAGACCCTGAGAATTTCATAAGAAAGCGAAAGCAGCAGCGACAATTGTATTGGTAACGAATTCGAGGCGCAGATAAGCTCCGAAAGGCGAAATGCACCCTGGTCAGCTTTGACAGTGGGGTGCTTCGTTCACAGAGACGCATTGGGCGGACTGGGGAGGAGGAGTCTTCGTTCAGTGAAGGGACGCCCAACGATCACGTCGGCCACTTTCACTCACTTCAGTTTCATCGCTAACAGCGACCGATGTGGCAGCAGCGACGACGCCCTTCCACAAACTCCATCGTGCTCGCATCAAATCGTCGCTTGCCGCTTATCTCGGAATCTGTCTCCAAAAACAACAGCAGCGTGAATGACGGAACTAAAGACACGGCATATTAGCGTGTCCAGGGTAATTCTCCCAATGCTCGTAATTCCGGTCCGATTCGTCGACTTGATATAGGGGAGACATGCCCCGCTTCCTCGATACCTGACTGCATACGTCGGCCGAAACAGGGAGAAGACCTCTTCGGTAGGCTCGTCTGTCTTGTCTGGTCAGATGCTTCCCTACTGGAGGGCCCCGAGTGTGGCCAGGATTTGCTAATTATTCTGAAGAATGACTGCAGATAGAGATTGCTTCATGATGGCGCATATTCGGGTATTTTGCTCTGTGCTCGAGCCTCAGCGACGTTCCGAACAGCGCAAACAATTTCCATCGATCTCATGAAGAAAAATTGGGAAAAGTCTGACGTAGAATACCACGGGTAGGCATGCTCATTTTTTCCATGGGGCCTTCGGGGAAGTGTCGGCTGACGTCTTCTACTATCAGTCTGAGGAGCGTATCGTGTGTACTTCCCCCTGATCTGTCTTCTAGCCTATTCTCGCTCTCGAAACCGATGAACCATATCCGGGCCAGATCTCCTTTTTCTGAGGAGAAGATGACTCACTAGTGAGATTTCGGCCGCGAATTCTCGCCGAAAGTTAAGCGATGAATGGTGTTGGATCCTCGTCAAGGGAGAATGGAAGTCCGAGATCGGAGAGAAAAGAGCTCCTCGATTCTGATCGGTAGTCTTATGAGAAATATATCGACCACCGGCATGAATCATGCTAACGGCATTGCACTTTTCCCCCTCCGGAGGGTGTCCCCGAGAAACCACAGAAATGCCTCGTGTAAGAACGCGGTGGGACGGTCGCGCACTCCGCTGACGAGAGGACAGGTTGATTGAGCCCAAGGAGTTTGTGGGAATCGAGGAAGCACATCCTGAGAGAACCCCGAGGATACCACCGCATCCCTTTCGTGAAGCAACGTTGCTCGAGCGAGACAACATGGGTCCGTCCACGGTTGCCTGGAAAATACGCAGGGCTTGGTCCTGTCCACCCGCTTACATGGGCGGTTCGAATCCGCGCTCGGAAATGATGCCTTATTGCGTATTACAGTGACTCCTCAACAGACTATTCGAAGAGTTGGGATTTTCCAGCCGGTGAGGGAAAGGAGTCCTCAACTCCTGAGGATGCTACTGCCAAGAGCCTTCTCATTCATTGGAACTGCCGAGAACCTCTCGGGATGATTATAGCATCTTTGGTGCACCCTAAGATTTGACTCTCCTTTTGAGGAACAAGTGGTGAGGTGAACTCGTGCAGAGGATGGATATCCTGGGGATTGCAGCAAAGACTTTTCCGCTCAAGAACTCCCTCCATGAGTGAATGTGCCGATGTACCGTAGAGGACACCAGCGATTAATTGAAGCTGAGTTCTTGAACTCTCCGATCTGACCCCCTTCCGCGCTTGCGGTCCAGCATTTTCAGCGACCCACGGGGGAACGTTCTGGTGAATGGACGGGGAAGTGGGAGATCCGTTCCAACAATGATATCGCACCTATTAGAGATGACACATATGGGGGCTCCTTGAAGACGACGCGATTTTCCGACTATGAACTTCCCGATCAGAAACGTGTTTTATTGTTTTAGTCATATCAGAGAATTCGATCACAATTTTTTGTCGAACGATTTCTGGAAGTTTATCGGGAGAACTTGACGAGAATCCTAGGACAGAACGCTCTTTATTCGCACTTGGATCTAACTTAGTTCCGGACCTCGCATTCTGGCCTCGAAGGGCCTAACATTATATACCAACTCTCGTTTCACATTATTCAGCTCGGTAGAAAGGTTCATCTGTTACTTTGTGCCATAATCGTGGACGATTCCCATTTCCGCGTACAGTCTCTGATATCTAGGAAGTTCTGGCAGTATTGCGGAGTACGATCGATATCTCCCCGCAGAGAACTTTCTTCTTGACCTGGGCTTATGAACGGGCGCGCTCTCGATAACAAAAACCGACCTCTTCCTCGGTTAATAAAATTTAAGGATTTTGTTGCATCCGGCATCGGCCGGAATTTTCTGCTGCGGCTCATCATTGTCGGTCTTCGGTCCATAATGAACGAAATGTTCGATGTCTTCGCAAAGTTCCTTTCGAAGCGCACTCATGACTGGAGACGTCCGATGTGCGCTGAGAGTATCGGGCAGCGTGTGGAAAACAGTTCGAGAAAGATCGAGTTCCTCTCAGGCTCCTTTTACTGCACAGACATGTTATTTTTAGGCGATAAGATTAACACATAACCGTTAGGACAGTGACGAAATCAGTTCCAGCCTCCTGTTAGTTTATGGAAGAGTTCTTCGTTGAGCGCTTGATTCTGCTCTTTCGATCTCATCGATACGAAGATATAACCACCGATGAATTCGTGGATCGTTTTGCAGTCTGCCGACAAAGGCGAAACCTGTGGAATAGAATGGGCACTACGGTTAACGATGCTCATGACTATCCCTCACAATGGCTTTCGTGGTGGAGATACGCCCTTGTGCTTTTCTGCCGTCGGGAGCACCTCTCCCCGGAACTCCGATCCCTCTGCCCCCGAACTCCGAAGAAGACCAAAGCACCCTTCGGCCCAGTCTTCTCGCCGTGGAAACGTTCCTCCAAATCCAAAGTGGCGACAATCGAGGACCACACCCCACTCACCTGGAAGTCCTCTTCCTCAAACTCCAAGCGCAGTTGTTTCACCTCCCAATTCACATCCCAGGCCTTCATGCTCGTGTAGCGCCAGGTCTTCAGATGATCACCTGTAAAACGGAACAGATCTTCCTGAGCTCTCGTATTGCTGCCGAGAGAATTTGGTACGATGACAGAACGATACTCTCCGAGCTGCCGGCGAGCGGTGAACGAAGCGGATCGACTCACCGGAAGAAGGATCGATTCTCAGAAGTCGATTGATTGCAACGCCCAAGACTTCATCCTTCTTGGGGTTCTGGGAGAATCGAACCAGGAATAGCGAAATGCCGAAATCTGACAGCGCTTGCCATGAACGGATATACTGCAACTTCGCATCGGCCAACGAGAGGTCTTTGACATTCGAATGCGCCATCAAAATTCCTCGGACAACCCCCGAAGCCCCTCGTTTACGGATGTACCGCGGAGCACAGTAATCTTCGGGGGCGATGTCGATCTGGAAGATGAATGCTTTTACGATCCTTGGCGGCTAAAGCATCTCGGCAGCAATTATCTCGCATAAACGTCAATATAAAGTGATCATTATTTATATTCGATGGAGGAGCAAGTCATCTAATTTACTTACGGCAGATTGTGCAGCCATGCTGGGGTTGGAGACAGGCTTCTGCATCCTCAAAAACTGTTGCAAGCTCTTCACCTCCTGATCGTAGCTAACGTCGGCCATGGTCTTGCCCTTGGTTGCCAACCGGAAAGCCGCCATCCAGCTCGAGTACGCTTCTTCGCTGTCGAACCTGCGGATCACCACGACCTCTATGAATGATTATAGCCTCCGCGGAGGAAAACCCCTAATCCTATGAAGATAAGTCTCACTCATATGACCGATGAGAACGGACACGTACCTCAGCCAATACTCTGTCATGCCTTCCGCACTCGGGACCTCGAGACGGATCCCGTATTTGGCTTGCGAAACATTGACATCAGGCGCTACCTCAGCACCTCTCAAACTAATCACGAGCGTTGCCGGTGCATTCGAGTTGGCAGCTTCTCTGTTTTTATACATTGACAGTGTTGTGTCTCTGAACACGAAGAATCTTTGCTGGAAGGCTTTCAGCGTGAATTTCCTCGGCCTAGATGAAGTCGAAAAAATGTTCCGTCAAATATCGTCATATATAAAAGAATATCGTCAAAAACCACACTCTGTCCCGGTCTCTGTCTCTGTACTCTTTGCATAGCGCCACTCGAATCTAGGGCTAGTTATTCGTTCCGCTGCCACTCGATTGGGCGACGACGCGTCGGCGCCTTCCGAGCTTCATCACAGCAAGAAGATGGTCAGAAACAGGCTGTTTTGTCATTGGGAATTTCACACGACACAAAACACAGCGAGGTCATTAGGCTCGGCACGGATCACACGTTTCGCACCCGAATCGCGAACTTACGAACGACAACAACAGCAACAGCAGCAACAATAACAGCATCGGTAACAGCATCCCTCTTCGCGGGGTCTGATGAGTGGGTGGACGCGAATATTTTTATATTTCGCGAACGATATCGCTTCGACTATAATCATTTTCCCTGACCACGAGTCGGGGACTTTCTGTCCCCATCATTATTTCTCATAATTCCATGAGTAATTGATCGCACTCACTTGAGGAAACGAATATATGAAGAAAGTTGAGGAACTTGTGTTATCTGCATCGCGTCCGTATTATCCTTGTTCAGGGTTGTACCTTCTAAAGAGATCTGAAGATCGTCGAGAGCTGCGTCGATGTCGTCCTCCTTAGCCTGGCTGCCCGATAATGGGCAATTTCCGGACGCGCTCTGAAGAGAAAATCGAGACCGTCATAAAAATTGACGCGTTCGATGCCTGATTAGGGAATGGGTTGCGAGAAATGGTATCTCTCCGGAAATGGTACATCTTTCTCGGGCGTCTCATAATGATATCGATTCCCCTGCGATGGTCGTGGGCATGGACGCTCACTTGTAAATTGATTTGATGTTGCAATGCTCCGAACAGAGACATCTCAGTTTCTGTACAGTCGATTTCCTCTTGCAGCAAGGACCAGCGGGCTTGCTCGTAGATTTGGTTGATGCGGATCGCGTCTTTCTTCGGGTTCAGATCGTAGAAAGATACGAACTTGAACTTCAATTGGAGCACATCGTACTCGAGGACGTTCTGCTCGAGGAGCGAAAGCGATGAGTCCAGCCATCCTGAGTTCAGCCTGGCCCGTTCGACGAGGTTCTTAGGCCTCGGCTGCGCGGCCCTGATGTCGTTCGGCGGTTTGTACGGCATGGCGAGTGGGTGTTGATATTGCGCCAAATAATTGCTTTCCAGATAAGCTGAGTTATTGAATGAGCACGCCGTCGTGTTCAGCGATGAGTTGAGAAGAGTTTTATCGTGACCATTTTGTGTACTCAAATGCTGTTTCTCCAGATTCAAAACTCCTTGACCGGCGATAGTCCGCTGGCGTGGCGGCACCCCTACGTGTCTGTAGTTTTTCTTCAAGTGATCCTGGCTTAGAGGTCGACAGAAGCCCAACTCCTCCGGATGCCTGATACCGAGTTCCTGTGATAGATGAGGAATAAAAATCAGCAAACGACGATGGAAAACGAGGGCTCTGCCGCACGGCACATATATACATATATCGCGGTTCTACATATATCGTGCGATGAGTAAAAAACATACCTTGCACAATTTCACAACCGCAGAAAAGGCTTTCACACAAAAGTCGACTCTGCAATCGAGTATTCGAAGGTCTGGGAACTGCACTTTCAAAACTTTGTGCATCGGCGTGAAGTGAAGAACAGCGTCAGCCTGTACGCCATACTGATCTAAGGTGGATCGGGCCCGGGAGAGCCACTGATTCTTATCGGGCCACCAGAGTGCGTGATCCGACCAATCGTTCGGAACATCTGCGGAGAATACAAACGGATTAGTGGCGCGAAGAAACGGCCGGAGGAATGTCAACGCGCCTCTGGAACCCCGAACCGTGATCAGTGCTCGGACCTTCCTCCTCATTTCAATTGTATCGGGGAGTCCGAATCGAGGAACTTGGATGATCCAAGTTGGATCTCCCGGGGGAAAATATAATTGGAGAGAATCAACGACGAGATTCATGTAATTCGGGGGAACAATGATTCCCACACGGAACCTTGAGCGGAGCGTATGGAAAATTCCCATGCGCTCGCCTGCACCCCGAAACGGGTTGTGCATATGTTGTTTATCCGGAACTCAATTGATGACAGCTCAGAGCTAGGCTAGGCTTCCTTCCTATCCACAGACAGACCACCCGCCCGGACGACAGACACATAAGCTGACGTCCAGGCGTGAGCATCAATTTGTCTCTGTGTCAATTTATCTTCCGAAGAATCCTGGGCTTCTTAACTTTCGTTCGACTCTCGATGGGCGCCTCGCTGCTCACGCTTTCAGTCAAAGAGGCGGCTGGGCGCCGGGTCGTGGTCGGGTGGATGGTTTGCAAGCTTGCTTTACTAGCTGTTCGGTGTGTTGCTTGCTTGGTTTGTTCGTCTGTCCGTAGGTCGGTGAGTCTAATGTCTATCTGTCGGTCTAGAGCGTGGGACGACGACCACGACGGCGCCGAAACAGATCAGTGAGTGCAGGCCAGCTTCGGGTCACACAACCAGGACCCACTGGAAGAGGAAAGAGAAGCCTGCGAAGGATGCAGGAAACGAAGGAGAGAGAAAGGACGGACGAGCGCGGCGAGTCTGCCGCCCGGTTGGCCAGGCCGCCGAGCAAAGCGGCGGGAAGGACACGCCAACGAACGGACGGTCGGTCGGTTGGCCGGTCGAGGAGACCTTGTTGTTGCTCACTCGCTCGCTCGCCAGACGCCTCGTTCACTCACTTCCCGATCCTCTGCCTCAGAGCAGCAGAGAATCACATGGAAGAGCAGTCTCTGTTTAGATTTCTCGCTGGAAGAGAGCACTGTGGTCACTGCAGCCGCAGCAGCTGCAGCCCTTTACGGGTGGCAGCTCGGTGCGAAGCATGAACAAAAAAAAAGAAGACGAAGTCAATAAGGAGACGAGACTAGGTCAAGAAGGAAGACTGTCTTGGCTGACATCCGAAGACAACGAACTCAACTCTACGAGCCATGCTCAATGTGAACGAAAGCGGAGGACTGCTTCCTGGCAGGCGCACCGGCGAAACGACCACGCGCTCACGAGCCCGTCAGACCGGCGATCAGACCGAAAGAACAAACCAGCCCAGCGGGGAATACATCTTTTTCCAGCGAGCGTGCGAGCAACCGCCCGTCGGTCGGATGTCCTCAACAATGAGTTGTCGCGCAACACAATTGAAGATAGTGTTCTCGCACTCAATCAGTCGCTCTTCATCTCTGAGATTGATTCATGTAGTTCTGGTTGACAGCTTCCACGATTGGATTGGAACCACATGTTCCCGAAGAGTTTCTATCTAGAGATTGCCCTCCCTTTTCCGGAGCATGAGCTGGAGGAGTCGAAGGAGGAGAGACGGCTCATACTTACTCAGCGTTTCCACGAGCTTCAACATAACGCCCCCGATGTGGAGATCTCCCATCACTCGAAGCCGCCGTTCGAGCTTGAGATCTGTCACGTAAATTTGTAGCTCCCATGATGCGTCGATCTTTATGCCGTTGGTGAACATGTTGCAGAGCGGCGGTGTCGCTAGCGAGTTACGGTAGGCGCCCGGGAGCGGCTCACAGGGCTCGTTTGTATTTAATGGAGCTGGAAAAAAGATCGATTGGTCTCAACTAATGAGGATAACTACTCCGCATCGAGGAATAAGAGCGTACGGCATCCTAGGTTCGGCTCGAATGAAAATTATTTCATACGGATGGTAGGCATTCCTCCAACGGGACTCAGTCAGTTACGAGTATCGGCGTCAAGGTCGTTCCGAACGTAACGTTGACCACAGCGAGATTCTCGATCGTGCCACGGTCTCTCCCATCGGATTCGACCAGACACCACGATTCATCGAATTCGTCGCTCGAGTTATTTCGAATATCCCCAATCTGACCGGCTCCAAGTATCTGACCGGCTCTAGAGTCGCCGGGCGGCGGGGCCCGAGCTCGAATCATTGCGCTTACATACATAAATGTATATATTTTTTCATGCTCATGAGAGGGAGCGCATTGCCTGCGACCCCAATCCCCAAAAGTATATCCGACGATATCGGAGCGAGACGGCGTCACAGGAAGAATGGAGCTTTTGTAAACATCAGCTTGGAGCTATATCGCCGTGTTTCCATTCCGCGTCGAGTATCTTGAGATATGTCGAGAGACTCCATGTCGTCATACGAGCTCCAACGTTACTGTCGCACTTGGAACAAATCGCTTTGCCGATGCCATTCGGAATCAGTGACGAGAGATACTTTCTCGTCGGAACATCCTCGTCCGGCTTAAGTCTGAGAAACCGCCCGATGTTTGAATTCGTAGACCAAGCCGGCCAAGACGGGATGAGCTTCGAGCTCGACATTTGTTTTTACCCTTCGACTCAGTCAGAGACCACGGACCGCTCACCACCACACTGCCTTACGTCCTACGGAAGCCAGGGTGTGGCTTCCTGTCGGAAGGAGGAACAATTTCGGTGAATACCACTGGTCGAAGCCGAGAATATGGGTTATGATTTCGAGCGCGCAAATTCGTTTATGCGTGGGCGACAGTTTGTTGTGGCTGTTCCGAAAAAGACTCGCGTCGATTCGATCATTGGCTAATCGCGATAGCGAAATCGAGACTAAATAGAATGTTTCTCTTTCGCGCGTGGAATCAATGGGAAATCATGAGCTGCATTTTCGTTGGGAAGGAACCGATAGATCCACATGTGGCCCGAGTGATTTCATGTCGGTCGAATGGCGGACGCAACGAGGCGCCGGAGGATGATTCCGGAGCGTCGAGACATGAATCGACGTAAAGCACTTCCCATGAATGGCCGAAACCACGAGAACAAAAAATGGAATGCAACGCTCAGCGACTTAGCTGTAGACGAGCGAGCGACCGAGTGATCGTTCCCATATGGTAGCGCACAAGCCACAGAGTTGACACCACAAGCAGCGCGATAAACTCAAACACCTGCGCACTCACACACCCATTATGGTTCCGGACACTGGGGCAGATCGTAAGTGAGGTTCGTACGTTCATTCACGGTACTAGCCGAGTCTACCATTGATGGCCGGGTTCGCTTGGCACAAAGAAAAAGCGTGGGTCGAGTTTTCTCTCGTGACCACGATCGACTCTCTCGTCTTGCTTAAAATGGAATTCGCCGACTTACGCCGGCCAAGCTTCACGCCCCCGTTCACTTCCAAAGCAGACCACGCCGATTCGCTTCCGTCAGATCAGTCAGATCGTCGATGGAAGCTTAATACAATCCTCCGAAGCACTCTGTGATGCGATATCACTGGAAGACTTGCGGGAACCAGATCTGAAGCTACAGCATCTATCTCGAGGCCAGCGTCGCACCTCTCGAACTCGTGAACGTCCTCGCGATCGGATGGACGTTGATTAATAGTAGTCGGGGACTTCCATAACTACGGAGCCAGTCATTTTCCAAGAATGCGCTCTGCATTCGAAAGCATGAGTCACTCAGAACTTGGAATTTCATCGATTTGGAATAACATCTGTGGTAGTGCCGTATAAGATCTCACGCAACCGCGTGCGGCATTTCCATTTAGATACAGAACGGCCGCGCGCGTGAATCGATTCACTATGCGAAGACGATTCCCATTCATGAGTTCCGTCAGAAAACCAGCCAATCGGGCGAGCGGTAAGAGACGGATGACGACAGCATTACCGGCGAAGGTTGTGACAGAAAACGTCTGAGTCGTCGACTCCTCGGATTCCAATGGGACAGCGGGCAACGGTCGAGGCATCGGGGCGCGAGCGTCTTCCTTGTCACGAAGAGATAGGTCGGAAGAAACACCCGTGAACTATTCCAGGACAATACAGGGGAACTCCGGTGCACAGCTCCGAGAAATGAATCTTCGTTTCGTGAAAATTGGGTCAGTCTTAATGACTTACTCTCCGACGTTTCCCGAGTCCGCGACGAGATCGAATCGACGTCTATGGCGGAGGGACATTAATGTCCGTCGAGGGAGGACCGATCGAAGAAGCAAGAGAGCACGAGAAATTATTGTCAATCGCTCCCGCATCAATTGACAACACCGCCGTACATCCTCGATGAGCGGCTTACGTTACTTCGTTCAAAGAGCACACCCGCACACTGGCAGACACGGTGTTGAAATATCCCGAAGAACTAGAAGACAGAGAGCCTCCCACAAACCCTACGGTGGTGGCGTTCGATGTACAGACTGGCGCCACTAGGGTCCGACCCTCCTTCACTCTCGGCCTCTGTTCTTTGTTTACTTTCCAAAGTTTATTCAGAATTCGATTGCTCGCATCCTGCACGCTCTCCAGGCATTCCGAAGGATGGCGATCTAGCTCCGAACTCCGAGATGGGCTGGAGAGCTGGCAGATTGGGAAACTTCCTTCACGGGTCAAGGGAGACTCAACAGGCAGCAGCGGTAGCGGCGGCGGCAGAATTAGTCGTAGTAGGAACTCCACCCAAGATCCGAAACTTACCCTGTATGAGTAATGACGCAAAGTATTTCCAATTGCACTCGACAGGAGCCCGATCACGACGTCTGATAGACAGACCTCACGCCGCGTTTTCGTACCGACGATCTCTTTCAAGTGGACCAAGTAACCCATAAATGGTCATAGACCTACACACAAATTACACTAGAGCTAAAAGCTGAGCTGGGCTGTCGAATGCTGCACACCAGACAACACACCGTCTGCACTGTGGAGACTCAGTTTACTTGGCGCGGAATTCAAATTTCTCGGTTGTAAACAGAGGACTTTCGATCATTCTCGCGAGACAGGAGCTTGAAAAAACATCTTACTCTCCAATCAGGGGAGGGAGGCGGCCACAGTATGCTCCCCGGGGAGGATGCCAACCATCATGCTCACGCGCGGACCACTGAGTTCTAGTCAACGGAGCCCCGTGCCCATCTAGCGATGAAAATTCGAGTTTTCGATTACCCCTCAAATCCCTGACATGATGTACGCCACACCTGCAGGTGGAGGTGCAAAGAGCCCTACGAGAGTCAAGTCTGAGAATAATCGGACTTCCATCCTTAAAGGAGCAGGGAGCCCTACGAGAGTCACGTCCGAAAGCTATTGGATTTCCATCCACGGAGCGGTGATCCCTACGAAAGCAAAGACAGCTACCGATGCCCAATTCTTAGAGCGAATGGCAACCAAGTCTCGGTCCTGAACGTCCTGGACCACAGCTACTTCATCGTAGCCCCTCCTCACTATGTACAGGGTGGTCATTTTTAGTCGGGACTTTTTTTCCCTCCCCTCGTCCCGGCCCTAACTTTTGAACGGCTCAATGAAACTATACTAACCAATCAACAGCTCTCGCCCTGACTGACACAATTCCGTTCCTAGCGATGACGGTTTCGGCCAACTTCACCTGTTGCGGGCGTTTTGGAAATGATCGGTCACTTTTTTCTCGTTGCTCTACGAAAACGCCTCTTTCTCAGCGACCGCTTGGTCGATCGGGCTCAACCTGGTTGCGTTCGACGCGGGACAACCTGGCGGAGGTATGCCATAAAAAAAATTCAGGTACCATGTTCCTGGGGGAAACGCGGAAGGGGTGAACTTTGGTTTGAAATTGGACTTTAGCAAAATTCCGGGTTGTCGCTAAACTCAGTCAATAACTCCTCAGGGAAGCCGAATTCGAAAATTTTCATGATGGCTAAAAGTGCTTAAAAAGAGCCAATCCACCCGATCTGTGGGTCAGCAGCTCGATCCGACGACTTTTTTTTCCTTCGAAAATCGTCATCTCGAAATTCTCCTCGTGGACCGCGGAATGCCGCTCGGGAGCGCTGATGTTGTGTTTAAGCGCGCGCTCCAGCCTCTCAGCATGCTTCCGAGCGATGGCGCTCTCGGATTAACGGTCGGAATCCGTCGGCATCAGCCATTTTGAAAAGGGAAAAGCCGCGCGAGTCGTCTTTGCATTGTTTCGCTGTCGAACTCGGGATCGCTGCAATCTGTGATACGCAACTGCCACAGCCGTGATCTCAGTGAATTCATTGTGTTCTCCGGACTCTCAAGTTGATATCTGCGAGATGGCTGAAGCCGGACCAAGCAAGAACCACCCGTGGGAAGAGATGATCTCCTGGGGCGTCTTACCCTCCGTCGAACTGGCGAGGACCGCGTGGCGTTTCATGTCTTCCCAGCGGTAGTTCCTACTTGGTCTGACGATTTTTGTAGGGGAGAAACGTCGTCGGATCGAGCCGCTGACCCCCAGATCGGGTGAATTGGCTCATTTTAAGCACTTGTGGCCATCATGAAAATTTTCGAATTCGGCTTCCCTGAGGAGTTATTGACGGAGTTTAGCGACAAACCGGAATTTTGGTAAATTTGTCCAATTTTCAAACCAAAGTTTACCCCTTCCGCGTTTCCCCCAGGAACATGGTACCTGAATTTTTTTTATGGCATACCTCCGCCAGGTTGTCCCGCGTCGAACGCGACCAGGTTGAGCCCGATCGGCCAAGCGGTCGCTGAGAAAGAGGCGTTTTCGTAGAGCAACGAGAAAAAGTGACCGATCATTTCCAAAACGCCCGCAACAGGTGAAGTTGGCCGAAATCGTCCCCGCTAGGGACGGAATTGTGTCAGTCAGCGCGAGAGCTGTTGATTGGTGGGTTATTTCATATAGTTTCATTGAGCCAACGAGGGGAGGGAAAAAAGTCCCGACTAAAAATGACCACCCTGTGTATCGACAAACGATGGAATCTTTATCACGACCCAAAGGTGCGAGTCCCTCTCTATTCCGGACGTGGGGAATCCCTTGAGATCGACGCGTACCGGGCACGCGTACGAGCGCGATGGGGTCTCTTGAGCTATACAGCGAATAATTAACGATCCGAGTTGTTGCAAGTGTGTGCGTTGATCAGAACCGTGAGCTCGCAGAGCACCGAGGACATTCGACCGAATTTATCTGTCAGCTCCCGTCCTTTAATTATAATTAAAGGACGGGAGCTGGATAATTATTCACTACGCCATGAAAATGCATGTCATTTCTCCGGTGGTAATTTGATCCGATGGGATACGCAATCTTCTGATCAAATCCAATGAGTCAGTGGAATGAAGTGAGGAAGCTCCGAGCTCTATCGTATGTGAGCTGGATGGGGATCACGTGAGACAGGACTGGAGGAACGTAAAGGCGATCGGATTCAGCGATATAATCCGCGGGGATTCTTTTTTCCGAGTAGAAAGGAAAACTTTCGAAGATATCGATGCGATCGCGCCCGGTTCCTGAAAAGCAGAATACGCATACCACCTTCGTTTGCAGATTCGAATAGAGCGTGCATGTAGGTGTCGATGTCCTCCCAGTTGTCGAATAAGATGTGCGAACGGAACTCGATCCGAATGACGACTCCCCAAGGAATTTCGACATGAGTCCAGTTTTTGTTTGTTCATTCTGGCGTCTTCCCTTGTTGATCCCGCTGCTCCGTATCCCCCACGTGGGCAAAGAGGAGCTTTTAGGGGCAGGGCGAGAGGCAATAGGAATAGAGGCTTCTGAAAATCAGATCCGTCCCCATCGCCAACTAACTCAGGAGCGTGAATAGGTATTATCTTGAAAAAGAAAAAATACAAAAAAAAGTGCAAAGAAGCCGGAGCCGAGGAGAAAGACCCGCAGGCAAAGGTTAGTTGGATCACATAATTCAAGTGTTAGAAATATGGCGGGAGGAAGTAAAAAGGTAAATTGGATATCACTGATAGCAGATAGGGAACACAAGAGCAGCAAGAGTCTCGTACTAGTCAATGAAACTTGGCTCATCAATCTCGAGAAGCCCCCAAACTCAATGGGTTCTATGTACTATGTAGGATCAAACAAGGAGGGACTAAAATGCAGGAGAGCCAGAGAATATGTGGGAATTCTAGTCCCAGAGGGACTAGGAGAGAACCTATGGACAGATAAATATGACTACTTCGTAGCCCATGCTCTGAAAATCGACGGCAGAGACTACATAATGGTTAGCATGTAAATCCGTCATGAAAACATAAAGGAGATTGTTGAAATCTTCCAAAATCTGAGAGAAATGCTCAACAAGAGAATGGCTTTGAACTCATCAGTCATGATAGGCGGGGATTTCAATGCCCACATGGCGGAATTCGCGGCCTCTCGACTCTCGAATATGAGAGGATACCTTCCTAGAGAGCTTGCCAATGAGTGCAGGCCGTGGAAAAATGCGGCTTGAAAGGGACGTACTTGTTGCCTTTAGGATTTCCGTGAAGGTTTCTCTAGGGTGCCCGTTAGGGTTTGCGTTAAGCTTTCCGGATTCGATTTTGGTCGCCGCACAGTGGGGCCAAACCCGATTTTGGGCGGCAGAAACTCAAATTCTAGAATCGCGGAAAACATTGATGCATCGTGTAATAGGATTGCTGGGAACTTCAAAAAAACATGCCTTTCCGCCGGCGAGAATCTTAGTCAGTAAGACGAGACCCTCTCTAAGGAGAAACTTTTCCACTCGGGCCGTCTAGTTTTCTCATTGCATCGTTGTTCTCGCATGGCGACGAGTCTAATCGAAGTTTACGGGATTAGAACGTCGAATGTGAGTCTGGACTCGTTATAAACTAGTCGATGACTTATTCTTTGACGCAGATACCGATTTCCGAGGTCTCTCCTCGACAATTTTGCTGTCTCAAAAAACACTCATTTTCACCTTACTTCTTCAATAAGGAAAAAGTGATTCCGAGGGCTTCCCACGGCGCGCCAATGGGCCAGGAATCCTCTCCGAACCTCCGTCTTCCCATTTCCGTGATGAAGAGCTCGGCAAGTTCCGGCCCTTTGTGAATGCAGGCAATTCACAGACCTTCGACTTGTGGTCAATCGCAAAGAATTCGCTTATGGATTCATAGAGCGAATCGACGATCCCGAAGCAGCTGCTAACAGAAGCAAAATGGACAAGCTCCCTGCTCGAGATCTTCACTAAGGGAATCCAGTATTTGCGTTCCGGAATTGAACAGATTTCCTCACTCAGACACGAGATCTCACGCCTCCAGTCCTTGATTCTAAGTCTGGTAGCTCCACACCCAGGTACCCAGTCACTAACTCTCCAGAATGACCTCGATACTTTGCCTAACTGTGGTACCTGGGCGTCCGAGGCTCTCAGTGACTGTGAGCTATCCGGTGATGGACGGTTCGAGGTTTTCCGCAAAGACCGGATTGCGCATGGAGGTGGTGTTTGCGTACTTGTCAAACCGTGCTTACATCCCGTCGTTGCTCCCTTCGCCAGTGATCCGGATTCTGAGATCATCGCTGTAGACATACTAGTCGATTCACCCGATCTGTGCCGAGTGCCGAGTAATCTCTGCGTACTTTTCCCGAGTGGGAGTGCTGACCAATTCTACGAGCGTACCATGTCACCAACTCGGCTCTATCTGATTGACCTGGTCGAGGTGCAGCCCTCCCCCGTGGTGAGCGATCACCTCGCGATTCGTCTTGACGTCATACTATCATCTAGGATGCCGTTCTGGTCGACATTAGACGCCTCGGTCATCAACTTCCGTCGGACTGATTTTGAGTCTCGTGCCGCTGACCTGTCTATTGTACCCTGGCGCTCCTACTCCGCTTGTTGTGACTCGACTGATGAAAGGTATGAACACTCCCGTGAATACCTACATTTCATCGGTTGAAAATCTCTCATATCTACTTTGCGTATTCACGCCTGACGCAGCCCCTCCCTCATCTTCTCTGGACAGATTCATCAGTTGGGCCACCGGAAAGCTCCGATCCAGCAGTGCCCCTTCGGAGGGTCATCAGGCTCCCTGCCCGACAAGCTCCGGGACCTGCCGTGCGTCCAGGAGGCCTACACCTTCATACAGTCGAAGATGGTCACCTGGGTGTCCCTGGAGAAGCCGGGGATCAACTTCGCGCTCATCCACTTGCCGAACACGGTCCCGGGGCTCTGCGCCTACTTCTGGAAGGCAATGCAGGCCCAGGACCACCTCACGGTCAAGGAGCTGTCGAAGACCCAATTCGCCTCCCAGCTGGCGCTGGACGAGCCCGAGCAGTCCGAGAACCGGGAGGCCATGAAGGCGTTCTGGAACTCGACCGTGAGGTGGTCGACGAAGAAGGCAAACGTCGCGGCGTTCCGGGCCTCAAGGGAGGCCTTGGCAGGGTACTTCCACCCCAAGGTCTACGCCACTCAGGCCGCGGACAAGTACTACCTCGTCCGGGTGTGGGCCACCGGGGAGGTCACCGTCATGGTGCCGACCAACAACCTCTACTACACCCGGGAGGAGCTCGACATCCGCCAAGCCGACTCTGTGGATCTCCATCATCAGGCGCTTGCTAGATCCCTTGGCCGAGCGACCTTGCGGCAGCGCAAACTCCTCCAGAAAACTATCGGCACCGCAAACCCTTTTTTCGTGGTCCGCCATCATTTCCCCACATACTCGGAGCTGAGCATTTCGAATGAGTGCTGGAAAGTCGAATGAGATCGGTGGAATGAATCCCCCCATGTGAGACCGAACAAACGAGTTTTCCCTCTATCCCCCTGAGTATCGAAAAGCATTTTACAATGGTCGATGAGCATATATTCTCCTCTTATACGAGCGCGAACTTTTATTTGTACCCGCGGGCACCTGCGGCGCTCGCATGTGGCCCGCCGAAAATTCAAGTCTGACACACCTGCCTCTCTCCCGACAAAAATGTGGCGCCGTAGCAGACGACATTCTCAGCGGGAAGGGGCTGCCCGGAAAGCGGCCAGGAACGAATCCGTGCTCTAGACGGATAAATCGCGGTTTGGGAATCTTGGGGAATCTTCTAACCTTCTACCGCAGCGCCATCTATCGACATCAAAGGCTTTCGACACGTCAAGCAGAAACGCCCTTCTAGGGGGCCTTACTCTTTATTCCTTCTCATCCATTTTTCAAAGAGGCGGCGACATCGAGCAATAATTTCCCAGTGGCTCCACCTCTACTCTCTATTATATCGATGTGAGCTTGGGGTGCTGACTCCAGGGAGTAGATCTTCGATATGTTCGGACGAGCCCACCCTTCCCTCACTCCATCGCTGACATACTTGCTCGCATCTCTGAACTCATCCTGCGGAATTGGATTCGGGCTTCATAAGATTGCCGTGTTGCAGGACCCGTGGATTCCCGGAGGCCGGAAGTTTCCACCGACCTCCCGAGATCGGGAGGTAACATCTCACGTCCCTGACTCGGGCCTACCTTTGTCGCCGCTAGAATAGCCACCCCTGAGATGGACGCTTCGGGAAACATCAAGAATCGTGCGTCGAGTGTAGTACTACCGCGATTTCCCACGACCTGAAATTAGCCGGCAAGCACGTCCTGAAACTCCGCTTCCGAAAGGCAGAACAGAGCTCTATGAATTGATTGCTTGTGATGCGGCACGAGATACAGTACGGGCGGAGCTCACCAAAATCCTGCCCTTCTTGCCAATAACTTGACAGTCAGTCCCTAGATTCAGATCCGCTCGCATCTCGACAATGATGTCCAATCCGGAGGGAGCTCTCTCCTTCAACTCAGCGATTTTCCTGTCGTCCGACAATTTGTGGTCCAGAACGAGATCGGCGCCGAGCTCACGTAAAATGTCGAGGCCTTCAGCACTCCCCGCGGTGGCGATCACCCGCAACCCTTCGTTCTTCGCGATTTGAACGCAGGCTTGACCGACGGCTCCGCTGCCTCCATGTACCAACACGGTTTCGCCCTTGGTACATCTGCCCCTGGAATTTTCCGAGTTTAGCTCGAGCCTAGCACTTGTTGGAGGGGAAACCATAGCTCTTGGGACGTGCTAATTGAGCCCGAGCCATATCAAACACACTTAGTTATGAGAGCTCTGTAGGCCGTCAAGTAGGGTGTTCCTAGCGCAGCGCCTAAGCTCGAGTCTCCTCCCGGCAGAGGCCAGACTTCATTCTCCTCGGCTACCGCCAACTCGGCATAGGACCCGTGACCTCCGTCACTGAACATCGAACAGAAGAAGACTTTGTCTCCGGGCTGAAATCCAGAATTATTGACGTTGATATTATTCACACCGGAATTCCCTTCTCTAGACTCCTCCTCACGGTCGGTGTGTGCGGCAGGTGATTCAGATGAACTCACGGCGACGTGCCTGACTTTGGCCCCGACTCGCTCTACGGTGCCGGCTCCGTCTTTTCCGGGAGTGTAGGGTAGGGGTGGCGAGCGACCGAACGTGCCTGCTCGTACGTAGGTGTCCACAGGATTGACCCCGGCGTAGTCGACGCGAACCAGAACCTAATGAGAGAACTTCAATGAAAGTCGGACCCGCAAACCACGAAGAGCGATGGCCAGCAAGAGAGAGAGCCGCTGATTAACAACTGGGACAAGGGAAACGACCCGGGGCTCACTTCTCGAAATTATCGGGGGCTGGCATGAGGAACTCACTTCGTTCGGGGAGATTTTGGGAATGGGAATCTCCGCCATTTTCATCACATGCGGATCGCCCAAAGCTTTGACGAGGATTCCACGCATCATGGTTATGGCCCTGTAAAACACGTCTGCGTCTAGCGGCGGCGGGAACAGAATGTGAGTCCCATGGAAAACTCGGTCCGTCCCTCGCCGCTCGAACCGAGAATGATCTCTCAGTAGGCGAGGGAAACGGTGAGCATGGACTCGAAGCGGCACCAACATAACAATGATAACTTAACCACGATCTGTACAAACATTTATTCGTGAATAATAATTTATCATTATCAAAAGGCGACTATGATGCTCCTATTATTTTATAAAGGGCGTCTTTTTCGTCTCTGTTGAGGGGTTTTAGATCGAAGTGTTCGATTCCTTTACGACCTTCGAGTGAGCTGAGCTCCTGCATCGTCTTCTTCATCCGTTTTCGAACGGTTTCTATCTCGTTCTCGATTTCAGACTGCTCGGCTGAGATAGCTGCTTCGGCTACACGAGTGTCGGTGCGCACGAAACTGCTGCCGTGAACACACCATGTTCTCGAGGCTTCTGTCTTCCCGGCCTCGAGTTTCTTGAGTGCTCTCAGAGCTTCACGATTCTTCTGTCTCCTTTTATCCAGCTCGATCATTTTCTGTCTATCGGCGAGAATATCTTCAGCCAAGGCCTCCATTTGTTTGACAATTTTGAAGACTTTCTCCGACAAGAAATTCACCTCCGGATGCTCGGCCGCTTCCATTGTCTCCTGACCGGGGGTTCGAGCCGCTGGGCTACTCAGAGAGGAAGTCAAGTCTCCAGAGCAGGATCAGAGATGGTTGAACGAGGATGACCAGCGCACGATCACGGGAATCTCATCAGCCTCTCGATTCGAACGTCTTTATGGGCAGAATTGCTTCCGCAAGAGTATTACATGCAACCGCTGCTTTCGAAATTCACACCGTGATGCTCTTGATGGTCACCAACACCAGGGAGGGATATCCGACGATGTCAGAGCCCACGATAGGAGCAGAAACAGACCTGTCTTGCTTCCCTTGGCGGCGCTCTTCCACTCGAGACGAAATGATGTCAGCTGTGGGCGCTGCTCTCCGTCCGCCGGCCGGTGGTAGAGATAGGGGGTCGGAGCGGCAGCGGACTCATGAGGGACGTTCAGCATTTAGCGGCATTCTGTTTAGCTTTTTCTGGCGCCAAAGGAGCCCATGTCCGGAGTGAGCGCGCAGCGCTCGGAAGTTTTACGGTGTCCTAAGGAGCGGTTGCCCCAGAGAACGAAACGAAGATGGACTTCAGTAAGAAGAAGAATGGTTCCGGGGTGGCCCGGAATCGATCCAACATGGAGAGAATAACATTGTTGGACATGTACGAGGACTCGAGGGGTATGTTCCGCTCGTCGAACTAATCGAGCTATGTCTCGGTGACGTGAGTGTCAGCTTCGACTAGTGTGTGATGGTCCTCATGTCGAAGGAGATTGAATGAATTTCTCTTTCAGACATCTTACCCGACTTCTGTGATATCGAATACTTCTACGACGCTGCCTACAAGCGCTTGCAGATTCTTCAGTGCATTGAGGAGCTGAGCTCCAGGATTTCTCGGAAGGACAACGAGTACCAGGACAAGCTTCTCGCGAGTCTGACGTCGAAAAGCCTGAGGCATTGGGTTGATATCACGGTGGAAGTCGAGAAAGCGCAGAAGCGGGCAGATGATAGACGCGAAACCAAACGAGTGAGTGGATCCGACCCCTATACTCTTTTCCTTTTGGTCGTCAAAAGTGTTGTCCCTGATTCAGCGCCGCAGCCCTTACCTCGGTCGAGAATCCGCACCGCGATGTGTCTGGTAGTATAATGTCTCATGATCGATTACAGATGGATCTTATTTCGCACTTCACCCTCCGATTAGCTTACTGTCAAAGCGAAGAACTTCGGAGATGGTTTCTGCAGTGGGAGACGGAGCTTTTCCGGTTCCGCCTAGAGCGCGAATCCACAGAAATGGTTCAGGCATTCCAAGAGGATTGGAACCTCACGTTCGACGCGGTCAGTGACGATGAGAAACTTCGCGTGATGGCTTCGGTGGCAGCTGCTCGTCCCCAAACCAGCGTAGCGGTAAGCCCATCCTGAGCTACGCGAGCGATCTTTTCGCAATTCCCTTCTCCGCGAGGCCACTTTCGGGGAGACTACACGCGTTGCTCTCCAGGTGATCGCTTCCTCTTGTCTCCACAAAGTACATTTTTCCATGGTCCCGGATATGGTCGCGAAGCGTAGGGTCTACGTGAATAAGGGAATGGCTTACCTCCTACCCGAGGACACGAGGAGCATAGTGGTAGCGGAGTTCCGGTCCTATCTATCCCGCGTCCTCACTAAACTATCGACCTGTTCGAGCATATACCTGAAGGACGATCAGGTGAGCGAAGTCGTCTCATATGCGAATCCCGTGACCGATGAGCGCGAGGCACTGATCGAATCCATTTCCCCAGCAACTCATGTCGCTTTTCGATATCCTAGGTTGCGCCTTTGATGAAGCTCCTGGCTCGTCGACAAATCCAGGCGGAGCGCACTTTCCGCGAAGAAGGCTCAGTCAGCCCTGCGGACCTGGATCAACTCTCGAAGGACGCCTTCCCTCTGTGCATGTCGATGATGCATGACAATCTGCGCGGAAAGCACCATTTGAAACACACCGGGCGACTCGCCTATACGCTCTTCCTGAAGGGCATTGGTCTGTCCATGGACGATTCATTGAAGTTCTTCGGTCAAGAATTCGCGAAATCAATCGGTCCTGATAAATTCAATAAAGAATACGCCTACGCAATTCGTCACTCGTACGGAAAAGAAGGCAAGCGCGCCGATTACCGACCGTATAACTGTATGAAAATTGTGAACCTCCACAATCCATCGGGCGTGGAATGCCACGGATGCCCCTACAAAGTACTGGATCCCGATGCGTTGAAAGTTCGTCTGCGTAGCTACAATGTCACGGCCGGCGTCATCAACGATGTTATGAGCGATGTGAAAAATTCGAATTACCAGGCAGCGTGTACGAAGGTGAGTTGAGATCGAATTCGCCAGGATGGATGACAAATCCTCGAAGCATTCCTCTCTAAAAACCAAGGCTTCGCAGGTGTTCGAGTGTCGATCGAGAGTTGTTCTCAACACAACGATCGTGCATCCAAATCAGTACTACGAGGAAAGCGTCAAGGTTCTCCAGGGAACGTCTCAGCTGCAATCCCAAGACAATAAGATCGAGAAAACAGTCGTGAAGACCTACAAGAAAGTCAAGAAGGAGGAAACCATGGACGACGACGCTTTCGACTTCGACGCCATTCCGAACATATGATTCTCTTCCCTCCGAATTTTCGCGGAAAGGAGGACAAAAGTGTTCGCAAGAACCTCGAAACCAGACATCGAGACTAGAGACGAACATCTCTCGTGGCATCGTGTAATATATATCGCGCAAGAGAAGTGCGATTCCCTTATGATCTTCAAATGACATCTTAGCCCCGAGCCAGGATTCTTTGCTCCCATAGTAGTGAAAAATCTCCGAAACCGGGGTACGAGGATCTTATAGTCGAGTCTCGTAATAAAATACTTACTATTGCCCTTGACCATGCATTTATGTTCATATCATAGTGTTCATTGTGGTGCGAACCCCAGATGATGCCTTCATAGGGTGGACGTTGGAGAAAATAAATCGATGAGTCGGAGTCACTAAGCTCTGTACACGATTATCATATTCAAAAGCTCGGGACAAACAAGGTCTTTTCGGACCTGAAAGCATCCGACGTACCCCTTGTCCCCGAAGGCGATTCCGAGCTGCTTCCTCAGAGGCAGAGCTCCGAAACAGTCGTCATCAACGACGTCCGATTTTAATCGTTGCTCTCGGGACGGAATACGACCTTGAAACGTAAATCGCGAGTTTGGGAGCGCTCCGTCTACTCCCAGAAGGGACAAGGCTGTCGGAATCGTTTTCCAGGTAACGAGTTTGTTGTGACTTATGAGTTGGGAACTTGAGAAAGGAGGTGGAATTCCCGCACGAATCTGGACATCGGATAATAATAGGCGAATGTCGTCATTGAGGATCTCTCACAGCTTTATGGAAAATCCCGGGCGTACAATTTCCGCAGCGTGTTGACCATCGTTCAGCAGGCAGGTGAACCGATCGTGTCCGCCGGACGCTCAAGATCGAACATCTGATTCACCGGTCGAGCTCTTGGACTTGAATTTCCCCTCTGAGCATTGTACAGCTCGTGCACTCAAACTGCGTTCCGAATTCTTCCGCGGATGCAGTATCCCGATCGATGGTCCGGGTCCTGAGGATTCTGGAGTGTGACTGGGTTGTTGAGCTGACGGGGATACGTCTGTACTCATACGCTTGGGTCGAAAATCCTTGAGACTCTCATGGAATCCCTCGTCGTCGAAAATCATTTCCTGCGACAGGCGAATGTCCCGGGAGTGTGTACCGACTTCGGTTCTGATTTCCCCACGGAATTCAAGAGAAGGCCAGGCCCGCCGTCTGTCCTGAATCAGATTTCAATGTTTCGGGCTTTCCCTCCGCAAAGCATTGCTCTCCTAGAATCTCATTCCGAATGCGCTATGTTATGAGGGAAGCCAGGCTCCTCAGACGCATCCCGTAAAGATCTGAGGGAGGCCGCGAAATTCCGATTGGACATCTTCCTCAGAACATACCCGCCGAATATGGAAAATTGGATCGGCTAGGTCCTGTCGTACAGCATCATTATAATATAATCGTCGCTGAGCACGTGAAGTACAATCTGCAGAATTTCAATGATCGAGCATAAAGATGGGTGAAGCGGAAAAATCCTGGGAAGCGATCTCTAATGGATTTGTTAGGAACGAAGACCCTAGGAGTCGGGTAGGGGATTAGTTTCTCGAAATAGAATCATTCTGCAGGTGTCCGACTCGAGCCCAAACACCGTTCCACGTCTCAGCAAAAGCGTGGTCCATCCAAATCAGTGAGGGAGATCCCTAAGTGTTTCAACTTACCCACCTATTCGCCTCCTCTCAGAAGAACTGATGCGTAGCCTCTCTCGAGGAAACGTGCCCAACAGATAGGTGGAAGAGAGAAAAGGTGGCAGAAAACGGAGACGCCACTGATATTGGGGCGAGAGTCCCAGTCTTTATTTATTCGAGCTCCGTAGAAGTCCAGAGCATTACAAGTCTGACTACGCGAAGAACCTCGCGGTTTCAGATACTAACTGGTGCAGAGTCCAGGTCGCCAGAGCGAAACTGAAAGATCGATTTTGTCTCATCTTACAATAATCGATTTCAATTCAATATCCGCGGCTCGCAGTGCTGACACTGACCTATCGATCCACATATTGATGTGACGCTTGATATTGATGGTAGGATCAATCGAGTCTTTCGTCGGGAGTTTGCGGATCATGTTCTCTGTTCGATTCAGGTATGTGTACATCATCAATGAAACACGACCTCCGGTGTTTGAAATGTGGTGGGTCCTGTCGCTCGGTATCTCCAAGTTCATGAATCACAAAGTGAGTTTGATGATGAGTTAGAGCGAGACCATCATGAGGGAAAAGCGAGACTGCGAACTCACCATCGCTCGTTGTCCTGCCGTTAGGAGTCTCCCTTGATTCCCGATTTTCAGGAAAGATTCTCCCTCTAGCATTGTCAGATAGACGCCTTCGAGATCAGTCGGAACATAGTTCGTGATATTGAGACCTGCGAGCAGGAGAAAGGTCTCATTTGAAATTTAGCTCTAATGTAAGAGATTGTGATCTCGCTCGGGAGAATAATCGAAGGGGAGCTCAAAGAATTTACCGGGGAAGTCGAGGAGGAAATCGACATGAGTCGCATCCATTGAACGCGCTTGCGATGACGCTGCACTCAAAACGATAGGTCGGAGGTGATCGAAGTCGCGTCGAACTTCAAATATCCAGGACGGGCGTTTCAATGGACTCCATTCGACTTGAGTGAGATCGACCAGTGGATCGAACATTCTGAGGTAAGACAGGGAAGGAATCGCGCAATCTTTCCTTATGATTATGCGAGATTGAATGAGTTCATCGATCGTATCTCCGGCCATACCTCTGCATGAATCTCGAGTTGAGCGACATCCACACGTCTGCGTGAATTTCTATTTCCGTCAAATTCAATTCATTCTTGAGTCTCCGCTGAGCGCAACGAGCGAACTGCCAAACCATATCCGCTTGTTGGAACCACCGCCCACGTGTTGTGAATTTCTGTGGAAGTTGAGATGGGGTTTGAAATTGACTTTGGAATCTCAAACAATTACGAGCGACCATCCCCACCTAGGTTGTGACTTGAATTCCGGGATCAGGAGCATTTCTCCGGGGCGAACCTTGTGATCGATGTACATCACGTGGCCATTGAGTTTGTCCCTGACGGAAACTTGAATTTGCCCGTGCTTCCAGTTGTGGACCATCATGTTCCATTGGTGACCGTAGAGACCGCCGGTCCACGTATCGAAGCCGGGGAACAATCTCGATGATAAAAAGGGCAAACTAATTTGAATTGAAATGAAAACGCCGACGAAAATTTTCAATTTCAGCGGAACTCGCTGCGGGAGAAATTCGAACCTCAGATAGCAGCGACGCTCTTGTCTAACGCTAAAGCATTTATGACGGATGACGGGCTCCAGGAAACCAGATCCATGCTTACGCGTTTCGTGGGCCGAGATTCCTCTCTCCCGAGACTGCGCTCCTTAGAAGACGAAATTTTTCGGGTCAACCTCAGCGGCCAATCGTAGTCGAAAAAGAGCGGCAACATCGCGATCATGACGTAGGGGAACATTCCAATAGAGAACATGCGCGAGTTCAATCCATTGAATACGACTGTGAGGACGGCACCCAGTGGACGTAGCGGCTCCCAGAGAATCAGGAAGCCCACGAGGAGATCGAACAAGAAGCCCGACACGTGGATGACTAGATGCTCAATGAGGTGAGCCGGGAAGAAAATCCTGGGATTTCGGCGTATCGTTGATGAACATTCGCATTAGTACGAAAAAGGGCAAGAGCAGGCTGTTTTAGGAAAATCGTCGGTACACCAAGGGGAAAGTCGACTCACCTTAGTGGAGACCAAACCCAATGGTATCCTAAACCTCGCATCGAATAGCCCCCCAGCCAGTCCGCGTCGAACTTCTTTATGCCGGCGTAGAAATAAACGAGAAATATCTGCAGCCTCAAGAATAGATAATTCCACCTGGGCACAGTGTTTGAGATCGATGGTGCAACCAAACTCCTGGAAATGACGAGGAGGCATGAGACGCCAGCACGAAATTGTTCCGTGGGGCCTATCTCGATACTCACAGACATTTATCCGCAGAAGAGGTCAGGAGAATGATCGAGAGAAGACCGTACAGGTAACTGTGATTGTTCCAGCGAGTTTTATCTCCAAGAAAAATGTACCAGTAGATGGCAGTGTAGACAGAGAGAGAATATTTATAAGCGAAGCCCAGGACGACGCACACGAGAGCTGCAAGAAGGGAATCACAGTCATACCGGGGAACGAGATTCGAGGTTCCCCGTAAAAGGAGTTCTTCTTCACCCACCACACATCATGCATAGGTACAACAAGACCATCAGGGGCAGACTCGCTGGTTTCAAGAACTCGAACAATGGAAAACGGCATTCCAGAGAGTCTCCGAAACGCTCGTCCAGGATGGACATTCCTCGTTCCTCCTGCAGGTCCGCCAACATGAGTAAACCTGTGAGAGAATCCACACTCGCGGTTAATGCGATCGTCCCCGGTCGAGGATTAGGGAAACAGTCCGATGGGCACCGGTAACTCTCCGAATTACCGAAAAAAATCCGAGTCAGCCCCAGACTTGCGCCGGGAACCTCATCGGTGAAAGTATCGGTCCAACGGCGGATTTCTCGGAATAAGGAACCGAAGGCCAGCATTCTAGCGAAGTCTCAAGGGAGGAATGCAAGACTAATGACTCGGAAGTCCTCCTCTCGTCGAGCGAGGAGAGGGTCCCGGACCGTTGGATGACAAGGCAGAGTATCCCTTCGCTATAAAGGGATCTCGCTGGCTGAAAATGAAGTCGTAGAATGGGATTTTTCCTCCGCCTCATCGGTAGGGGCAATCCATGGCTTACAGGCCGCCTGTTCGCGACAAAAGACACGCGTTCCCGTATTCATGCGATAGCCTCTGAGTTTCCCGGCGGCCTATGACAGTGCTGACATATTAAAAAGCGCGAAAGACGCGTCGTCGACGCCGGAGAGCATTGTCAGGTGTTCTCCGAGGGATAAGGTGTGACATCAGAGCATTTTCTCAGGGCACAAAAACGGGATTCCCGAGTTCGAAGGGAACGGGCTTACCATTGACTTGAAAAGTATCGAAGTTCACGCTAGGATTCTCTCTTAGGATATGACTTTCGGAACGACTGGGGAGGGTTCGCGATTTCGACGATGAGCGGATACTGATGATATCTACGCAACGAAAGTCGCGATTCCTGGGCATATTTTGTACCTGTAGGGGTCTCCTTGGATCCGAAAACGGACCTGCTCGGAATCGGGGCACTGTGATGGGAGGATGGGACTCCATGTATCAGAAAGCTACTCGACGCAACCGGCGAACTAGTCTGAGTCATAGCGATGTTAGGAGACGCTACGAAGTGATCTTCTACCGTTCGAGCCTTCGAATATCGGAATCAGGCTCACGATCCCGGAGAGCCTGGACTGCACTGCCGGAGTAACAACGCCGGGGGGCTCATACGCTCCGCTTAATGGCTTCCGTGATAAAAGAGCGACGTGATACACCGCACCGTATAAATTCGACGTGTCGTGTGACTCGCGGAGTCTACACATTGTCGCTATGCGTATGTGCGTATCATGGCTCAGGAATTCATGACGATGAACGCCTTTCCCCGGCATTCTCCCGTTGATTCGATGTATAAGAGAGTCTGTCTAATACGCGAACATGAACAAGCGCATCGATTTTTCCAATCACCCCACCATTGAGCTCTTCACCAGGTTTCCTTGATGACGTCAGTCGAAAATCCAGATTTCTCCATGATCCCCGGAAAGGTCGTTTGACGCTTCCTTCCACCACTGGAGTTTTTCCATTCGGACCTTCGTTGCCATGCTCCAAACGTACGCCGTGAGACCGGCCTATCGACTGAGAATCTCCGTTGGAACCCTTCGCGGTCTGATTGTGTGGAAGCGGGGAGCTTGCCCCCGCTAAAACGCTCGCCCGGAACTTCCCGCCCATTTTTCATCGAAACTAGTCAAGGAGAGTTCTCTCACCCCATGCAGCACCTTTCAAAAACAAATTCAGCTCTCGCAGAGAAATCATCGATTGCCTTTCTCCGTCCCTCGATCGAATTCAAGGGGAGACTATCTGATAGGGTGGTGTGGAGTTGTTTTCCCTCATGTTCCATGACATAGGAAAATCGTCGTCGATTCTCCTAGAAATAAATCGTGAAGATTTACTTCTTCCGTCCGATCGAATATAATGCACGCATATTCTATGACTGTCAAAACTCGTGCATCCAAACCTGACTCGACCGTCGCTCGGGGACGTGACAAATGTCAAGCTTCAGGATACGGTCGGCTCAGAGGACGATGACAAACGCAGGGAATATTCTTGCCGAATTTATGCGTCGAAAATTGACCCCGATCTAAGCTATGAACGACGACGAATTATCGACGTGAATTCCTGCGCTGCTGAAACAATATGAAATCGATTACAGTTTCGAAATGACACGATGAGCAAATATTTAATCGATTACTGCTCTCTCGTCGACCAATGTTTCTGCTCAAGTGAGCACAATGAAGACGCCTTTGTCGCTGAAGTCGACAACCGACCCCTCCCACGCAGAGGTAGGCTCCTTGTATTTATTGCCCTCATTATTCAAGCACGAGGCTGGAGGCCGCAAAAGGTCGGATTCTGCCTCGAGAATACCAGAATACGGAGGATGTCGCCAAATCAGGAGATGATCGCATAATTTCACTGAAGCCAAGCTGAGGACGAGGAGTGCTGTTTCCCGAATCACGTGCTTCATGGATGTGTGATTTTTTTCGAATCTTAGAACACGAGTCACGAAAGGGAGGAGTATGTTGCTGACCTAAGCTAAGTCGCTCCTCCCAACACACAGTCGTTTAGAGACTCCGGTCGTGGCATTCACCTTTCGGGTGTTATCTCCGCTTGTCTCGACAAGATAACTCTTGTCTGAATCTCTGACGTCGTCGCTCGACGACCGCGCGACAGACCGGTCTGCTCACCCCGAATACCTCCAGGGGAATAATTTCGATGGGTCCGCTGATCTATGGAGGTGACTTCCGATTTCCATCGATCGGAGGATTCACGGTAAACCAGTCAAGTCCTGAGCTTGGTTCTCGATCGTGGCGTTTTCTAATAGATTCCTCTTTGCGGTTCCCCAGAAGAACGTATTTATTCAAATTTGAAAGAACGAGTCGATTTGAGGAAGACATTCAAGAACGAAAGAGCTCATTCCTGAATAGAAGCACTCTTTTCGAGTTTGGTAATAGAAGAGAGCAATCGAACGTGAGATGTGAAGGCATTTGGGCGAGCGACACGCTCCGTGGTCTGAGCAGCTCCGCCAGTCAACCCACGTGGACCCCGGCTCCTCTTTCGCTCCAGTGTCCCGGCAGCAGTGTCTTCTGAGTTGGATCGGCTGCAGCGGTCCGGAGTTTCGACCCGGAGTGAAGCAGACTATACAGCTCTCTTCCCCGGCTACTCGATTTGAGTTTTTGTTATCTTCGGCACCGGACTATCGGGACAGCAGTCGTCTGACATGGCTGAGACGCCGCGTGAGTAAACATTCTGACGATTCTCCTATCGGGTAATACTTGTAGTTAGGCCTGACAAACCCGCGCATCCTCATTCACTTCACCAATGGATCGAGTGACCCCAGAAGAGAAGCCGACGTTTTGTGGAACGAACTACTCGCGTCGAGTCGTTTTAAACTTCGCTGCGAACCTACGCCTGGCTACGACGAAGCTGGAGCGCTTTTCGCAGGTAGACATTCGGGTTTCGGACCCAGGCAGACGAGAAATCTACGGATGCATCGATTCCACGGTCGTGGATGAACGACGGGCGAATCGATCCCACTTCCGTCGAGTTGTCTCTTCTAGCTCTGAGCGAAATGTTCTCCCGGAGAAAGACGATTCCACGTAGAATGATGTCTGTTTGCGCGCTCAGCGTGCTTCTCTGCATGCGACAGTCGGCGCGCAGTCAAGTTCGAAGCAGCTGTGTAAAACTCCTTCTCTCCGGCAGCCTTCTCTCAGGCTCTTGATGGCGCTAGAGAGCGTGTTCCGGCGACGACTGACAGAAGGGAATCTTAGATTCTTGAGGTTTCGCCGGTGTTTTGGACTTGACCGACGAGGAAGTGTTCGATCGAATGACAATGGGGGATTTCGTGCCTGGCATCCACGGAGCTTCTCAATCAGGTGGGAATGAGTATGATGTCAGAGATACGCGACCGAGAGAGCATGTCGATAGAGTTTCGAATTGGATGTGCATCGGCCGGTTTCTCCGATTCTCTCCGAATGCGTTTCTCGGACACAGTCAACACAAACTCTGCAGTTTGCCTTGAGCACGGAAGTCAGGGAGAGCGGGAATCGAACGAAATAAACGACCGCGAGCAGGACTCGCGCGAGGGTAGTAGTGCGTCGGACTCTGCCCACTGCCTCGTTCGGAGTTCACACGAATTCGTGTGGAGTTCAGATATGGGGCTCCAGGCTCCAGAGCAAAAGTTTTCGCCGAGTCTCGTTCATGTTCTCCGTGTCTGCGAGCTTTCAGGCATCGACGACAACCACGTCGAAATGTCACGACCGGCCGGAGGTATGATTGACCGAGCCTTTCCTGTCGGGTATCGAGTCTCCGATGGCGGTTCAAAAAGGGCTTGGAGATGACCTAAGTATTTCAAGCATTGTTGAAACTGATGCCGTATCGAACGGAAACACGACTTGGTCCTGAAGCTCGGACCCGCGTTGTACAACCCTGTCGACCATTAGTATCAACTCGGAGTCGATACCGAAATCCCTCCCATATATCATCTGTCGGAGCACGATGACGCCGTCCGTTCCCGGATGACGTGAAGCCTGAGTCGGTGGGAATGTTTCGCTTTTTCCGTCGCTACCAGACATCGACGAATTATTTGGTACAAGACGGGCGAACTCCGGCCTTCGTAAGCATGAGATGCCTTTCACAGACTCGAAGATGAATATTCAATGCCTCCTTAAGTGCTGCTCGCGATAGAGACGTCTGTAGTTACAGCTTGTAAGCACTCTCCTTATCTCTGACTAAATGCTCTCGAGGGCTTGAGATATACAGAGAGTGTGCTAGGTGTTTATTTTGGCTACAGGATAAGCGATTCAGAGCGTCTTTGTAATAGAGTTCCTGATTCCTTCGCGGAGTCGCTCCGGATCGGAACGTTGAGCACCGAAGGGAGCGCTATGCTCCGCCGAATAATCAG